TCTTATGATTTTTTCGCCCCTTTCCATTATTGCGATTTGACCCTTACAATTTTACTCTTCAGATTTTACCCTTATGATTCCACCCCTATGATTCCATTCTCATCATCTCACCCTTACGACTTAACCCTTACAGTTACACCAACGGCTGGAGCCCAATGACCAAGCTCCGGGCCACCGCTGGCTGAGGCTTGGTTATCGAGCTCCGGCATGCCAGTGTCCGGCCAAGGCTGGGCCAGATCTGTCAACCAAGGCTCGGTTACCTGCCCTTCTCCCGAGACTCAAGCCCTGGTCCCCAGGGATGGCCGAACCTCGGTCCAAGCCTGGGCGCCCAGGCTTGGCAAGCCCAGGCTTGTGCCAGGCTTGGCCCGTTTCTCCAACACTGGCATTTCGTACGTGGGACGCACTCTAACTTCTGAAAGAATTGAGCGCGCGTTTTATCACCTTCAAGTTTCTCATGAAGTTTCCTCCTTGCAACGGTTCGTATTAAAAATAGGCTGAATCGGATGGTTAGTCCGGGAGATATACTTAACTTTATATGTGAATCTATCTCATTGAATATCCTAAAAACTGTTTAACCAATAATATTTAGTCCCTAAGAATTTATCTAACAACGAAATTGGAACCATTTGAAAGCCTGCCATTAATTTATTGATGGCAGAACGGATCACCCATACTCCTAAGTATAAAATCTCCAAGCATAATCTCTGAGTATAAAATCAGCCACATAATATCTTCAGTTCACTCTGCCAAAGTTGTTCAAGTCAACATCGGGCATTTCTCTGAAGTAGCCGGTTCTCTGTCTAAGAAATCGTCGATTGATATTTCCTTATTATTCTTATATTTTAATAGCACTCTGGTGAAATTTTAAAGTCTTCGGTTGATGACAATAATTATCGAGCAGCTCTTGATATATCATGGGGTCGCTAAAACATGAAGAAAAATTTCATACCCAAAAACGGCGTTTTTCGTGTTTTTGGCTTTGAAATACTCCTCGCACCACAGTATTCATCCGATTCAAACTTTTCTTTCCTCAAAATGTTAGATTCCATAGAATGAAACTGTTTTTTTTTCGATTATCTCAATTGGATCATAGAAAAATTAAATTTTTTCGATGTACTCGTTGTTTTACTTTTTTCATACCGTGTAAAAATTATTATTGTAAGTAGTTGGATTTTGAAATTTTTCTCCTGAAAACATCTTTTATACACTATTTTGATGTTCAACTACTTAGAATACTAATTTTTATAGGGGAGAGTGGGGCAAAATGAAACAATCGACAAATGACTGTTTGACACATTTCGAGCAAAAAAAAATTTTTCTATTACATATCTTTTTTTATTAACTTTTTTTTATTGGGAGTACTGATGAGAATAATAATTTTCTATTTGTCTTATAATTCAATGAATTAGATTAGGCCGATTCCACTTTGCCTTCTGGCTCTTTCCGTACTGACCTTCACTTTTCTTCGCCCGGGGATTGGTATTGGCCCTTCCCCAAACTCGTAAAGCTGTCAATCACTACGGAAAAATATCGTTGACGACTAGTGCTATGGGGTTTTTTTAACTCGCGTGGTTGGCCAATCCTCGCCTTCGACTCGCACGCCAACTCGACCCGAGTAAAAAACCCCATGGCTCGCCCTGAAATATACTATGTCAGTCAATTTAAGGATTTTACGGGCTCATGATTCAAGATGGACGGAAAAGAATTTCAGAATATTTCATAAAGATCTTTGCTTCCCTACAATTCTCCATCTGCTTCATGAAATTTCTGAGTGTTTACGAAACATAAATCTGCGTTCTCTTGAATTTTTAGAGGTAAACGGGGTGAATTAAGTTTAATGAACTCGCTCATGAACATGAATATTCAATTCAAAATTCCGTTGACGGCGTCGGAATCCAAATACACTAGTTTCCAGTGTTTTCTATTTTTTTACTACACCCCTGATGAAATCATGGAATTTTTGCACGACATGAAAAAAAGTCATTAGTTTTCATAATTAACACTGCGCATCGGAATAATTGCACCTAGCATAACGAGAGAACAAGTCCCTTCACCAGGGGCGAAAGTTTCACTCTCCTTCTGTGAAAGTAACTTTTCCATTTGCTATTTCTCTCACCTTCAATTCGACGAGCCACTCCAGGGCTGCCAGACTGTCCGTTGACACTCTCGTGAGTCGATTTTTACTGACATCGAGAACCTCCAAGGAACGTAGAGATGATAACCCAGCGTGCTCGAGACTCGGGAGTAAGTTGTGACTCAAATTCAGGAATAGAATGTGGGGAACGTTGATGAAAGCATTGTTCGCTATTTGTTGAATTCGATTTTCCTGGAGTTCTGCTGTTTGAAGGAGGGGCAGGTCTGTAAATGCTCCACTGGGTATCATCTAGACGTAATGATCATGAAAATGAATTGCAAACCAATATTTTTTCCAGCAATTTTAAGAATTGCTTGAACCTGATAAAATTTAAATAATTTTTCCTGTTGATGACTTTTTCCTGACGATCCAACGAGGGAGAGAATTCTTTCGTATGAATGAACCGATCTCTTAATGAGTTTTTTTTTATTCATTTCGACGAATTATAAAAATTGATTTTTTCAATTTAATGGCATTTTTTATTGATAATGGATGAGTTTTCTACATTAATTTTGGCATCAATGAATGAATGGGTTCAATATTGCAATCAATTCTGAATGAATTATAACAATTTTCCTTGACCATAGTTTGATCTTTCAGTTAATATATTACCCATTCATTTTTTAAATTCATGACTCGATTCATTCACTATACTCTAACGTCAATTGAGGGGTTCATAAACTAATCTTTTCATCACTTTTGCGTAAAGTGAAATTTTACTTTACGCACTTTCCACATATTGTGATGAAAAGTAGGGGTTGGTACCTGGTTGAAAAGTTTAGCTTTCGGGGTGTGTAAAGTGAATCCTCGTGCGTAAAGTTTCATTTTACGCACTCGAAATTTACGTTAGGGTGCTGCCACAATTAATGCAACGCAAGATATACGCATCGTTTGCAACTGTCAAAAATAATAATAAAAAAATAGTTGGACGATTGATTAACGCATTGCGCAAGTTTTGCGGTGCATCCATTCTAATCACCCCTACGCATGACCTTGAATTTTACGCACTCCGCGCAAAAAACTAATCACTTCACACCCGCTGCACCCCCAAAAGTGAACTCGGCAGGTATTACAAAAAATAGGATACAGGTATTACACGTGCGTGCGAAAAAGTGCAACTTTACGCACTAGTAACACAATATACTATTCTTCCTTCTTTTTGTGAAGCACCAAATTTTCCAGGAATAAAATTTAAATCTTGAATCTTTTTTTGTTCACTCAATAATTCCTAAGGGATTCATCAATCCCTCGATCAATGCTGAATGGACCAATAGGGAACTTGTATGAAGCTCAATTCTTTTTAATTCCCCTATTCACACATTCCTCGTAACATTTGGATAGCTAAACGGAAAAAATTATAGAGAAATATTGCCTAATTGTCTTATGATAATTAATTGAAAATCAGTTGTTTTCAAGGCTAATTTTTCGGTCAACGATGTCACGAAGACGGTCACGTAACGCTTCATTGGTCGAAAAAGAAGAGAGTGAGGAGTTGTCCTCCATTGGCCGAGGCGCACCTCAAAATTGGGTTGGCTCGGATCAAGCCATTCTGTGATTGGTCCAGTGCTCGACCGTCATTGCGATTGTGACGTCATTAGCGATTTCAAAGTGTTTGAAATCCTCAACTTTTAACAACTAATTATTAATTAATGAGTAATATTTCAAACGTTTGTGAATGAAAAATGAATTATTCAGGTCCCAAACTTGAAATTAGAAAATTGAAAAAAATTCATGCAAGTTCCCTATTGATCATTCTGATTAATTTCGTCATCTATTCATTTGACAAGAATAACAAAATATTGAAAAGTTAAATTCACCTGAATGCGATTCTTTCCTAATCGAATGGCCTGCAGTTCGGGTAGATTCCGCACAGCATTCCTTTCGATAATCCGCAAATCATTACTCTCAAGATCAATGAAGCTTAATCTCGGCAATCGATTAAACGCCCCCTCCCTTAGTTCCTTGATTTTATTCCTCACCAGTCTCAATTCAAGCAGAGAGTTCAAACTGCTCAGCGTCTCAGGTGACAGAATATTAAGCTTATTGAAGCTCAGATCCAACACCTCGAGGGCAGCCAGGCCGTGCAGCGAACCAGGCAACTCGGTCAGTGTGTTGTGCGATGCGTAAAGTTCCCTCAGGTCCCTACATTTGAATAGACATCTTAGTACATGTCTACGTCACTCTAGATTAAAATCTCCCCAAAACAATGAGAAAATTTCAAGGTGAATTCTGGTTCACGAAATAACGCAAAGAAAACAGAATTGTATGGAGGTTGAGTCAACGATTTAAACGCACATTATTCCATTCTACTTTCTAACTCACGCCAATTTGTGTTACACAATTTTAAGTGTCTCTGAGAGAAACTTTTGTAGAAATATACAATAAAAGAAAATCTAAACAGAATGAGAAGAATGGGATTAAAATTATGTCTAGTCACAAAATTGAGATGTAGAAAACAAACTAAAATTTCATCGTAAATTGAACGAAAGTCTTCAAAGTTGCAATTGATAATTGAAAAATATTTTTCAATTCAGTAACCTTCTCGACTAATAAAGTAAAATGAGTTGATACGGAAGTGAAAGGGTGAACGATTCATTTCAGCCAAGAATGATTCTCGGAGGAAATGATAGAAAACAAACTTCGCGATCAATTCTCACCTGTGAATTGATCTCGTGATGTCAATCAAAAGCCCATTTAATTATAATAAAATAAACAATAATTTTCCTGTCGTAGCAGGGAATCAAACTCAAGTCATCTGGGTGTAAATTTGGTACGCTATCTACTCATTATTCCTTCTCGGATCAAAACAGAAATTTCCAGATGAATATTAACGTATCGAAGATTAAGCCATTTAGTTGCCTTTTTTTCTTTTTTTCAAAGTTTCACTTCTCATTTTTTCTTTTTTTCAACCACGTGAGTAACGAAGAGTTAAGGCTAAGAAAATTTATGACTAACATGGATTTTAGGTGATTTCTCAAAGAATTACTCATTTCTATTTCAGACATCATACCACCCAACCCTTTCGAAGTTAATTCATTATCAAAATTAATCAAAACTAAAAGTCCAAGTTCTCATTCACGAATTTTGTCGAATTTCCCAGACAACCTGACAATTTTTATAGAAAACCGAGTTTTCTCGGAGATTTTAGGAAACCGGAAAATTTTTCCACAGCCAGAATTGTCTGGAATATTTTTGAAACATTTTTCAGTGCCAAACGAATGCTTCACGTGCCCAAAGTTCCGAGTTCAAATCCGGGTCGATTAGAATGATGAGATCTAATCATTTTAAAGTCTTGATCATCATCGCAATATACTCAACCGAGTCAACGCGATGTAAAATAACAATAAAAAAAACGCTGAACGAATTAGACCTTTACAGCTAATTCTAGATTTTTCCAGAATATTCTGCATCGATCGAGAAGATTCTAAAACTGTCTATATACTTCCATGAAATCCCGAAGAAACACAGGGTGCAGGAAAATTTCTCCGATGGCAAAAATGTCCGAAATTTGGTATAGTCAAGATGCAGTCAAGTGGATGTGCAGTCCCTCTGGCTAAAGAGTGGGTAGATTGGGCAGAGTGGGGGTAACTCACCCTGCACTGCAATAACTAATCTCTGAATTTCAGACGTTTTGGTAGACATTTTTCAAACACTTTGGAGTACATTCTGCAAACATTTTTCAGACATTAAGAAATGTCTGAATCGATCAAAGATGTCTTATTTCCAGACATCTCCGTTTGAAAACAAGGTGAATCAAATAATTTCTGATGGACGCGGGGGGAGGAGAATTCAAATAAATTTTAACCAACAGAGAAAGTGGAAAAACCCTCGTGAGGAGACGGTTTTGCGAAATTTTCGGGATAAAATAAAAATTTCGGGGAAAAAACGCACGGGAATTAATCAAGTGGTGAGAAGGAGCATTCTTTCGTCAGTAGGACTATACATCCACTCGACTACACCAAATTTCGAAGATTTTTACCGCCAAAGAATTTTGCCATCGAAGAAATTGTCCTACACCCGAAACGCACATCTTGAATAATATGATCAACAAAAACTTCTAAAGTTCCCGCGCACACGGAGAGAAAAATTCAATGTAAATTACAAAAAAGAAAAGTAAAAATTACGTTTCGAAACGTAATTCGCGAGCGAAGTAAAATTCAATAAAAAGTGCGAATCGGAACTGAAATTGTACGAATCGCCACGTAAATTCTATGATTTGTTCCGTAAAAATTGACCACTCGTCTGATGACTCACCGCTGTGGGAACAACAAGTCGTTCCGTACTTTTTCCCCAACGATTGAGAAATTTTACGAAACGGAACGTAGAAATAACTCACCAGCTTCATAAAAATTGTTGAACGTTCAAGAATTTTTGATTTTGGAGGCATAATAAGTCGGGAAGTTTCTGTAAGATTTTACTTCTGTGGGAAAAATTTCGTGACAATTTCCTACTTTATTCGGTAATGAACCTGAAGGTTCACGGAACATTTCAGAGTTCTTCTCTTCCAGTCCTATAAAAATTGCCGGAAAACGATTCTCCATTGCGAATTACGAGAATTGTTCCGTAATTTTTACTGAATATTTTTCTCCGTGCAAGTGACCCAATTTTCAACACTCATTTACATTCCGCAAAGGTGATTTTCCCCGAAAGCTTTCCCACGCTAACAAAAAAACCAGCAAACCCTTGTCACAATTCGTAAAAACTGCTCATACCTCTAAACTCTCCCCCCCCCCCCCCCCCCCNCCCCCCCCCCCCCCCCCGAATTATTCAATTTTCTTCCTCGTAAACTCCACTCACCTCGTGCTGGAAAACGCAGAATGTGGGATCTGGGCCAGATTATTCCTCGCGAGATCGAGTCTCTGTAACTGGACATTCTCCGCAAAGACATCGGCCCTGATCACCTCGAGCCTATTCCCCCTGAGATTAAGATCCATAAGCGACCTCAGAGGCTTAAGACACCTTCCGTGCAGGGACATCAGCCTATTGTACCTCAGATCCAGCTGCTCAAGCCTCATAAGCCCCTCAAAGGTTCCCTCCTCCAGCATTCTCAGAGAGTTATACCCCAGATGAAGCTTCTTCAGGCTCGGCAGCTCGCTCAGAGTCCCCGGAAGGATCCTATCAATGCCATTGGCACTCAAATCGAGTGATCTAAGTGCAGGAAGTGCTAGATCCTGACTCTCAATCATCGGCAGCATGATGATCCTGTTCATCGCCAGATGTAGATGCTCTATATTCTTCGGGAGCCCTGGAACCACCTCCAGCAGTCTATTCCACCCAACATCCAGCTCATAGAGCGCCGTCAAGTGGCTCAAGGTCATGGGATGAACCACAGAGATGGCATTCCTGGAGAGGTTCAAGTGCTCAAGGGACGGAGTATTGATGAACGAATCTGGTTCGACAAGAGTGATTCCATTCCCACTCAAGTCAAGCCTCCTAAGGTTCGGTAGGTTTGCAAGTAGGATCGGCTCGACATGCCTGAAGTAGTTCTCAGAGAGATCCAGCCCCTTCAATCCAGGAAGATTCCAGAAAGGAGCTTCTAATAGATTAGTGAGCGAATTGTTCTTCAGCCGCAATTCTCTGAGCGCCGGCATCGCCGAGAACGTCTCCCTCTGGAGGAAGCTCAATTTATTGTGATCGAGGTGAAGTCTCTCTAACGTCGGATGCCCTCTCAACGCTCCAAAAGGGATCTCCTGAAGCTGATTGTGAGAGGCGTCCAGAAGTTTAAGTCTGGGAAGAGCTCCTAGGATGGACCTCAGCTCGTCCACATGACTCAGATGATTGTTAACGATGCTCAGTTCTTCTAGACCACTTCCGCTTCTTTGGATGAAAAACTCCGGATGAATTCTGTTGACGAGGTTGTCGCTGAGGTCTAGAACTCGGAGCTGGGGGAGAATCTGGAAGGCTCCGGCCGAGATCTCCGTAATGAGGTTCTTCGAGAGGCTGAGCCGACTCAGGGAAGGAAGATCTGTGAAGGATTCTCCTTGGAGACGAGAGATTCTGTTGCCGTCCAGACGGATTGTGGAGAGGCGAGGGAGATCGGTCACTGCTCGACCGAGGATCGAGGCTTCTGGAAGGTTATTGTCCACGAGGGAAATCTCGTTGAGCTCGGGAAGGTCGACGAAGGCTCGGGGGTGGATCCAGGTGACTCCGGTGTCTGTGATGTTGATGAGGGAGAGCTTATGGAGCGATCTGAAGAGACCTGCTTCCAATCTGACCAATTTCGGACTGCCGAAGACGTGGAGCTGTTCTAGGTTTGGTAATTCTCGAAAGTTTAGGGGGGAGAGCTCGGTCAGTGCTCTGGAGTTGAGCTGGAGGTAGCGGATTTTTGATAAGCCTGAGAAGCGGGGGAAACGCTTCATGGACCCGCTTTGGAGGGTGATCGCCTCGAGGCCTTGGAGGTTGTCCAAGCTGTCGATGGGGAGGGAGCGCAGGTCGGGCTCCACCAGGAAGAGCTCGAGGAGGGAGTCGTGCAGACCTTCCAGCCAGCCGGAAGAGACGCGCTCCAGGTGGTTATTGCGTAACATCAGGCGTAGCACTCGGAGGGAAGTGAAGACTTTACCGGGTAGGCTGGGGAGGTTGTTGTTCTCGAGAATCAGCTCGTCTATGGGGCGCGATATGTAGCGGCTGACTGAGTTTAGGCCTTCTAGGACTTTTGGGAGTTCGCTGTGACTGCACCTGTTTATGAAACATGCCAAAATGAGGGATTTCTAAGGATCAATTTATTATACGATTTAAAAGATTTAATTCAATGCGAAGTTTTTTCATTTTGAAGATCGAAGGAGTTGTTTGAAAGTGACGTAAATTTGGAGATTCTGTACTGTAGATTTTGTAGTATTAACAATTCAGGAGAGATCGAGGGGCTACTCACTCCATAATCAAGTGAAACCATGATTTCGAAATGAAGTCGATTTCGGTGATTTCAGCGATTTCGGAAAAACTGATGTCGGCGATTTCAACCGTCACGGAAGGTGATTTCATGATTTCGAATGATTTCATTAATTTGAAATCTGTGATTTCAGAAAAATAATATGAATAAATAGTAGAGATAGAGCAAAACGGGTTGTGTCAAATTATGAAAATCAAAACTGGCAATATTAACTGACAAATAATAACGAACTCCTTTGATTCTACTCCGACAATCTTAAACTAATGACGATGAAAAGCCCATTTTACCATTTTACTATGGCAGTGAGTTCGGCATTTTATTATCATCGTTGGCAGGTGTGTCAATTTCAAAATCACGAATTATTTCACGTGATTTCGGAGATGATTTCGAAAATGATTTTGAAGAGCTGAAATCACTTGATTTCAGTCATTTCGGTGATTTCATGTGATTTCGGAGTGATTTCGGAATGATTTCATGCCAGAGTAGCGCCGTGATTTCGGAAGTGAGTAGCCCCTCAGGAGAGATCTTCTGACTTCCCTGAAATAATTGCGACACTCCGAAACGTTTTATTTTAAAGCTCAGAGAAGTTACAGGAGGAAGTTTTTATGGATTATTATTGAGAACGTTTTGAGGAATTGGAAAAAACGAAGGTGGTGGGATTAAATTGCTCCAATGAAAGTGGCTAATTGTTTAATCGAAAAGCGGCAAAGAGATGATTACTCTTCGATATTATGCACCATGGTACCCTCTTCAACAATTGTACCGCAATTCGTAAATGAATATCAATTTATGCTCGAAGAAGGATTTATCAACATCGAAAATACGGCCACGGAACAGATTCGAATCTGCGACCCTTCACACATGAGTCTACAGCGTCTAACTCGTATGCCAAGTTCCCGATATAACTATGCTTCTTTATAAAATTAATTTTAAGGAAAGAAATAGGCGAGTAAAATATATTCAAGTGGCACTCAAAAATAGAAAATGGAAAATCTTTAACACCCCAATTTATTTCGCATAATAATCAATAAAAACGAATGATGATGCCCGGCGCGTATCTGGGAGACCCGGGTTCAATTCCCGGCTGGTTGAAGCGGAAATTTTTTCTCTCTAAATTCTAATTCTCTTAGAATTCTAATTCTCTCATCTGCGATAGTATAACTATCGCAGATAAGATCACACCAATCAGATTTCAAAGTAATTCAAAGTAATTTTTCCCAATTCGATTCCAACAGATTTCTAGTAGCATACTGTTAGCAGGAAAATTAAAATATTACTGAGAGTTTATTAGTAATTCTCAAAAGAGCTATATTAAATTCGATTCAATTCGAAATTCCCTCAAAATTTAATCAAATGTCAACATTAAAGGGACAATTCTCCAACTTACCCGAATTTTCAATCAAACCATGAATATTTAATACCAATTTACGCTCAATATCAATGGAAAATGGAAGGATATGTTCACTTAAATTTTCCGCATGTTTATTAATTTCCTTGGGATAATTGAACTAAGAATTATAATTTCCATTGATTTTTCATTAAATTGTGAATTTTCAATAGCGAAATATTTGGAGATGTCAGTGGAACTATCACTTGATAAACAGTCCTCAGAAGCATATCGAACATTTAAGCCAAAAATTTTTAATAGCAGATAATTGAAAAAATACTCGGTATACGTGTTACTTTAAAGTTGGGAGAAGTTATAGGAGAATAGTGAATAGTACCGTAGCAGGAGATGAGGAATGGGTCAAGATTGGCCCAGGGTGGCCCAATCTTGGCCAGCACTCTTACCAGGGTAGGTGAATTATTATTAAAACCATTTCGAAAAATTGGCAAAAACCGGAGGTTGCACAATTAAATTTCTCCAATGACAGTGATTAATTGTTTAAAGGGAAATGGCAAAAGGATGATTACTCTTCGATATTATGCACCATAATACACTTTTTAGCGATCGTTCCACAATTAGTAAACGAATGTCAATTGATACTCGAAGAAAGACTTATCAACATCGAAAATACGGCCACGGAACGGATTCGCACCTGCGACCTTTCACATATGAGTCTAGGGGAGGGTGTGCCTGTACCGCCCACCTATGCCAGTTTAATATCTTATATTTCAACTTGAGTATAAAAAACGTATTTGTGAGACTTCTTCAACTATTGAATTCGTTATTCTCGAAGTGTAGACGCCTAATTTCCCTTAGAATCCACAAAATTGACTGAAAATAAAAGAGAGACCCTATTGAGCGATACTACCCGCCGTCGGATAATACCGCTCACCCCGATTCCAATGCCGCTCATAGGGTTTTGCGTGTATCGCTCGCGCCGCAACCTAACCTGTACTCGAGTGCTGTCGAGCAACTACGTGGCCGATTCTATGAGCGGTATTACCGGCTCTGCTCGGCGTCAACAAAATTGTTGATAATTATTGACATGAGTGGAGTTTCGAGTTCGAATTGGTCTCAAATTACGCGTGAAAGTACCCCGAATCAAATGACCACAGTTTAATATGAGAATTCAGCGTTTGAAACTATCAAAAACCTTAATTACAAGTCCACAAATTTTGCACTGTAGAAACCTCAAAACTTCGTTACGTGTTTTTTCATATTTAAAGTGGTAAATAACGTGAAATTTTTCCGACAATCACATCCTATCATCAAATTCTTCATGATCAGGAACAGAAAGAAATTTTCAAGTTGATGGTTGTGGAGAAAATCGGGTGAGCGGTATTACCCGCTGAGCGGTACAGGCACACCCTCCCCTACGTTTTTTTTTTGCTAAAACCGCCCTTTGAAAAAGGTGAAGAACATTTATCTAGCAAAACTAAGTTATCGCCTATGAACACATCACAACTCACCAAATTTGATACTCCATATCCCTCGTAGAGCACCTGCATGGTGCAATTTTCTCCTGTTCGGGACAGCCATAATCCTCTTGTGCCCCAGTGACTCCAATGAGTATAAGGAGACACGCCAGGAGCAGATCTCCACCCTCCGGCGGTTTACCCATAACGCATCTGGCCAGTTTCAACTCGGCCTCATGACCTGTCTGATAACAATAGTCATTCAAAAAACACGAAACCCCTACTAGAAAATATACCAACATGAGCAGAAATTACGACTGCCAGCAGATAGACTCGAAGATCATTATCTCAAAAATTCTAGTGATATTGCAACATCACAACACGAATTAAAACATTCCTCACTCGATTCGTCAATCTCCATTTATCTATTGGAGTAATTGCTACCCCGAGATATCTGTCCCCACTGATTGCAAAAATATCAGGAATATACAAAATAAGGAGTTGACAAATGTCCAAGGGCGTCACGGATACAGGTTTAACACGTACTCACGTCACGGTTGGAGATGAAAAAAATTGTTTCTACCGTAAGGAGAGCCAAAGACCGCTAGGAAAATCATAACTCCGTAATGATTGGAGGCTTGAATCAAAGGAAAATGATATTCAATTTCATGACACCATTTTACGAACTGTGATAGCATATTTCGACACTAGGCCGTGAGGAACTTTTCTGGGGAATATGAGGTTTACTCGCCTGCGGCTCGTTCTGTAATCATATGAGGTAGAAAAGTTCTTCACGCCCGTGTATCGAATAACATTTTTTGTCATTGGGCCCTTGGTGCGCTCGGTGAAATCACGGTTTTCTTTGGGCCCAATAGTGACGGAAAATCATTAAAATATAACTAAGAACACGAGTGAACCAGAAGAATGAACAAATCTTGTAGTTCATCTTTTTGAGAAATTGAAGCAAGAGAAGATTGCAAAGATGGACTAGAAGCGAAAGGAAATGCAGCACAACTCGAGTGAAAGTGCTTTCAACTTCCTGCATAATTTTTATCCCCCTAAAACTCTTCCACACTGGTTTGGAGTGTGAGTTATGCAACTAAGGTCGTTATACTCCTTTTGATACAATGCAGATTCTGGGCAATAATATTTCGCCATTGGGGTCATACACTCAGCCGCTGTCAATTAGCAAGAACAATTGCGTTTAGATGATGGGCAGGAGACCGTAAAGATTCACTTTCAAAATTCCGAATAAATCCTAAAAGTGTTTGAGTCTGATGAATTCACAGAACTGATCATTTCACAGAACTATTTCAATGATATTATGCGTCAAAACACGAGTCGACTTGGCGACTGCCAAAAAGAATAATATAACCATGACCAATAATGTCGTAGGGCAAAAGAACTGAAAAGTTCTTTGTCATTAGGTGACGATATTCTTTTGGTCTTTGTGGCCGGTATTTAGTCTACCGGAGTAATTCGTAGAGTACAGACGTTTCTTCCTCGCGCGATATTAATGAAGAAAGAAAAGAAAAATTTCATTCACTACATTTAACAATTATTCATCTGCCCATTTTCATTAGACTTCATTATAAACAATTCTTCATATTCTTCGTCGTCCGCTCGATTTTTCGTTTTCCTTATTTACCTGATTTAGTAATTAGTAAAAATTAACACACGTGGTCACTTGTTTTGAATTCAACACTGAACCGTAACAGAATGTTCAAGAAAATGATCAACAATTTTATGTCAATTTGACACTGTGAAGATTGTGTTTGTGGTATTTATGATTGAGGAAAATATAGGGGACAAACATGTCACTTTACAACGACACTGCAACAAACTGAAAGGACAATTTTTTGTTTTGAACCGATGTACTTGTTACGGACACGCACTAAGTACACTGGAAGAAGTGTCCAGAGTAGGTGGTACCATTGGCATGTGGGGGAAACGCAAACTCCTCGTTGGGGGAAGAATAGGATGGAATGAGCAGAAACAAGAAGACACGGCTGAAGAATCGTTGCATGGTAAACCGAACGTGGGAGAAAGAGGAGGAAATTTTGAGGGGGACACAGAACGATATTGCGAAGTGTCCAGCGAGCGTGAAGACACGCTTCCAGGAAATCTTTTCCTTTCTCTAGATCACACTTGTCACAATTGTCTCGCTCGTTAAAATTCCAGGGGATTTTCACTAATCGATGGCGCTTTGGGCTTGGGTTACGTCAGAAGATGATCGATTCCGTACAGGGGATGAGTTTCAAATCTGTATATCTATAGCTGATTTGATATAACTTGGGAAATGGAATCGACCTGGAGAAATTTTTGTTGAATTCGTCAGAAGAGCTTTATCGTCGGTAATTTGATGAGGTAAAGAGGAGAGCTTTCCGAAGTCTGCTTACAAAAAACCCTGCTTTCACAATAATTGTACAATTAACAAATATGTCAGTACTTTAGTGATGTAATAGAGGATTTTCATTTTTCAAATGTTGATTGAGCAGGAAATGATTTTACTAAGAAGTAATTGTAGGGAAAAATGAAGATTATTTCGTTGGGTATTTTCTTTATGAAGGCCTTGAATTCGTCCACAAAATTTCAAATGGCTAAAGAGAATTTACGAGAGAATTTCTTCCCTCCTCGATTCGCCTAATCAAAGCGCAGTATTCGAGGTCACGTGACACCTTCACGTCGGTTTTATTTGGACAATTTCCTCAATTCTGATTTTGACCAATCAGAGTGCAGTATTCGGAGTCACGTGACGCGTTTCACACTGATAATTTGTTATTGGTTTTGGTTTTGATTTTGGTTTGGGGTATTATAGCTGATAATTCCACAGTTGTCTGTCAACTGTTCTCTCTTATTTTGACATTCTAATTTGTGAAAAAAGCTTGTGTGAGGTTGTGTTGATATGATTCGAGATAAAGGGACATTCAAAATGAGTTGATTTGGTCATAATTCTGTATGAAAAATCATCAACAAGATTAAACATTTTTTTTCCTTTTGTGAGATGTCGTGTAAGGTGCCACGTGACCTCGACCACTGCACTCTGATTGGTGGAACCCAGGAGGAAGGAAATGGTGCTCTGAATACCTCTCGACCTTCAAAATTCATTGCATATTCCCCTCAAGTTTCCCTGTGTATCAATGATTGGGATAAGTTTTGCAGGAAAATCATCCCTCTTGTTGCTACGTAACAAAGCTTTCGGGAAATATTCGGTAATTTTGAAGGTCTCGAAGTATTACAACTGACAATTCAATGGCGATTTACGTAATTTCATATGGGTTCTAATAGGAAGACGCGATATTGTTTTGAAAATATCTACAACAATATGAAATTGCCATATGAAGTTGCAAACTGTCATTTTTCGATGTTATATGCGCATGCGTAAAATTTAAGAAAGCTTCCCTAGTAGAAATCAAATGTCCGAGCGAAGTCGCCCGGACTTTCCAGGGGCGACTCTCGTATAGCATACGTGAGACTAACGGCTAGTGATGCCGCGAGACATTTCATGAGACATCACGAGACAAAACTTCGGAGAGATGATATCGGTCTCAATGAACATGGAAATCTTTGCTCTCGTCTCAGTCTCAAAATACGCAGTATCGACTCCTCTCGTAATGACTCCGAGTCAGTTTATCTCATCTCCGTTTTCAGTTTTTCGCGTTTTTTATGTGTAGAAAATCGAAACGAGACAACGCGAGACAAAAACCGAGATTTTACAGTAAAAAACAGGAAAAACTTGAGACCGAGATGAGATAAATTGACTCGGAGTGATCACGAGAGGACTCGATACTGCGTATTCCGAGACTGAGACGAGAGAACGATTTCTATGTTCATTGAGACCGAGATCATCTCTCCAAAGTTTTGTCTCGTGATGTCTCATGAAATATCTCGTGGCATCACTATTAATGACGGAATGTCCCCGCTAGCGTGCCCAATATACGAGACCAAATGTCCGGGCGCACGCGCCCACCGAATGTCGCCCCGCTAGTCAGAATTTCTATTAGGGTTAAACGTATTATTTCCTACCAATCAATAAGAAATTATTAGAAATAGATTAAGCAGTACTTTTGGGTAAAATATGACAATGTGCTTGCGAATTAAATATATCATATAGTAATCAAAAATGTTAAAATAGTATATTACGAAACTCGTGCGTTATGGTGTTTTTTGACTCGTGGGATTGTAAAACTCGCCTTCGGCTCGTTTTACAACTTCCCACGAGCCAAAAAACTCATTACGCACTCGTTGCGTAATATACTATTTTATGTCATAGGGCCCAGAATCCGCGATTCTACCGAACGAAGCGAGGTTAGAATCGCGTGATTCTGGGCACCTATGACATAAAGGTATTTGTAAAAGCAATTCTAACTGCTTTTATGGTTTCGTTCGTGTTTAATTAATTATTCAAATTGCGCCTTATAAACAACCTTTATGGACGCTACTTTGTCCCATATCCCTTACACTGTTGACAATGTGCTAGACAGCAAAAGAAGCTCAATTGTTCTAGGGGAGGGTGTGCCTGTACCGCTCAGCGGGTAATACCGCTGACCCGATTTTCTCCACAACCATCAACTTGAAAATTTCTTTCTGTTCCTGATCATGAAGAATTTGATGATAGGATGTGATTGTCGGAAAAATTTCACTTTATCTACTATTTTAAATATGAACAAACACGTAACGAAGTTTTGAGGTTTTTACAGTGCAAAATTTGTGGACTTGTAATTAAGGTTTTTAATAGTTTCAAACGCTGAATTCTCATATTAAACTGTGGTTATTCGATTCGTGGTACTTTCACGCGTAATTTGAGACCAATTTGAACTCAAAACTCCACTCATGTCAATAATTATCAACAATTTTGTTGACGCCGAGCGGAGCCGGTAATACCGCTCATAGGATCGGCCACGTAGTTGCTCGACAGCACTCGAGTACAGGTTAGGTTGCGGCGCGAGCGATACACGCAAAACCCTATGAGCGGCATTGGAATCGTGCCGAGCGGTATTACCCGACGGCGGGTAGTACCGCTCAATAGGCTCTCTCTTTTATTTTCAATCAATTTTGTGGATTCTAAGGAGAATTAGGCGTCTACACTTCGAGAATAACGAGTTCAACATTTAAAGAAGTCTCACAAATACGTTTTTTATACTCAAGTTAAAATATAAAATATAAAACTGGCAGTTCCCCTTAGGTGGGCGGTACAGGCACACCC